TCCTCCCTCAGACCCAGAGCCTAGGCCCCCCGCCCCTCCTCCCTCAGACCCAGAGCCTAGGCCCCCCGCCCCTCCTCCCTCAGACCCAGAGCCTGGGCCCCCAGCTCTTGTTGCTCTGGGCACTTCCAGGCCTCTGCCTCCCACACAGGGTCACACCTAGGCCCAGAGCCGACAGGGCCATGCCCAGAGGTCTCCCATCCAGTGGCCCAGGACACTGAAGCACACCCCTCCCAGGCCACCTTGGAGGGTGGGGCCGCCCCCAGAGCTCACCTGAGGAAGAGAGCACAGGTGCTCTGGCCCAGCACATAGTCGGGAAGCACGTCACCAAATTCCCAGGGCACGTTGCGCACGAACTTCAGCACGGGGTTGCCCCTCTGGGGAGGGAGGAAGGGCCGAAGCCATCAACAGGGTGACCCCAGGACCACGGCCACCCCAGGATGCCCCTCCCCCACCTCTTCTCAACACCTCCCCGCCCTCCTCCTGCCTTGCGCCTGGGTCTTTCCAGCTTCGCTCTCCCCAGCCTGGAATGTTCTGGGTGCTGGGGCTCTGACCTAGGCCCCTCCCCCCATACCCCAGGCTTAACTGAAGGGTCCCTGGGTCTCTCTCCAGCTCCGCCCTCCCCCCCAGTCGCAACCTGTGTGTGCTGTGGTCTGTGGGACACCTGTCCCCGGATGTCCACCTCACTGCACCCACACTGCCCTCAGCATCAGCCCCCACACCTGCTCCTCCTCCCAGCCCCATCTCAGGGACAGTCCCACCGTCCAGAGACCGAGGCCTTGTCCTGGACACCTCCCTCCCCCTCTCCTCCCCTAGGTGGGACATCTACCTTCTAAGCATCCCTGTGGATCCCTCCGCCTCCACTGCCACAGCCCCCACTGCACCTCCTCCAGGTCTCCTGCCCCAGTCGTGTCCCCTCCTGGCCACCCTCCAAACAGTAGCCAGAGGCATCTTCCTAAAGCACAAAGCTGCCTCTCCCCTGCTCTAAACCCTGCTGTGGCTCCCGAGTGCCACAAGAGGAAACTCCTCACTGTGGCCTGTGACCCTCCACAGGGTCAGCCCCCTACAGCCTGGCATCTGTTCAGCAGGCTCCTCTCTGTGAATACCCCTCACCCTCTAGCCCAAGAGGGAAATTCTTTGAGCAAGTCAAGCTCTAACCCATTCAGCAAGTATCTGAGTGCCTACTGAGTGTCTAAGTGCTGGGGATACAGCAGGACCAAGACAAAAGTCATTGCCCCCATGGGGGACACAAGCATTAAACAAGAGTCTCAGGGATGAATGTGTAATTCCCAGGTGAAGTGGAATTCCATTGTAATAAGGGTGTGGGGTCTGCTCTCGCGGGGTGTGGGCTAGTCAGAGCAGCTGGGACAGGAAGGGTCTGCAGGGGTCCCAGTCCCACAGGCCCTGGGCCATCTGATCTGCAGCACCCAGGTGCCATGGAAGGGTTTGGGCAAGGGAGGGGCGGGATCCAATTTTAATTTTTAAAGGATTATTTTGTCCATCCTACACCTATGAGAATGGCCAAAATAAAAAAGACAGACAGGGCCGGCCCCGTGGCGTAGCAGTTAAGTGCCCACACTCCGCTGCTGGCGGCCTGGGTTCGGATCCCGGGCGCGCACCAACGCACCGCTTGTCAGGCCATGCTGTGGCGGTGTCTCATATAAAGTGGAGGAAGATGGGCACGGATGTTAGCTCAGGGCCGGTCTTCCTCAGCAAAAAGGAGGATTGGCATGGATCTTAGCTCAGGGCTGATCTTCCTCACAAAAAAAAAAAAAAAAAGACAGACAATGACAAATGGTGGGGATATGGTGAAAATGAAACCTTCATATGCTGCTGGTGGGAATGTAAAATGACGTAGCCTTTTACAAGACAGTTTAGGGGGCTGGCCAGGTGGTGTAGTGGTTAAGTTCACGCACTCTGCTTCAGCAGCCCGGGGTTCGTGGGTTCAGATCCCGGGTACGGACCTACACACCGCTTATCAAGCCATGCTGTGGCAGCGTCCCACATACAAAGTAGAGGAAGATGGACACCCAGGGTCCATCTTTCTCAGCAAAAAGAGGAGGACTGGCAACAGATATTAGCTCAGGGCTAATCTTCCTCACAAAAAAGACGGCTGTCTCTGAACCAGGAAGTGGGTCCTCATCAGACACCGAATCAGATGGTGCCTTGATCTTGGACTTCCAGGCTCCAGAACTGTGAGAAATATGTGTTTGCTGTTTAAGCCACTCAGTCTGTGGGATTTTTGTCATAGCAGCCCAAACAGACTAAAACATGGGGTACCCTCAACCCACACACAGTAGTTGAATGAATGAAGGAATGAATGACACTGCTGAGACCACAATGGCTGGAACTCAGATCTCTTTCTACCACCCACCAGAAAGCCACCCCCTAACAGGATTCCCCCCTCAAACCCAAAGCCCCACTTATCTGCCCCCTCCTCACCTGCCGGGGGCTCACAATGATGCTGTTGGATTTTGCCCCTGGTTTGGGGGCTTGGTTGGGAGTCTCTCCTGCTGGGGGTTCTGACCCCATGGGGCATGGGGCTCCGGCCCCTCCTGGAGGTCCTGAGATGGCATACTCAGCATAGGTCTGAGGGGCCGGCTGGGGCGAGGTCTCCATGGTGGGAAGGCTCCGTGTGGATTTGAATAAGGGCTTGGCCTGTGGGGAGAGAAGGGGGCGCATTCAAAGTCTGAATTTATTCAAAATCGGCCTCTACCCTGGTCCCAGCCACCATCTTCTCTCCCTTGGACCACTGCAGTCACCTCCTTATCAACTCCCTGCCTCCGCCCTTACACCCTACACTCTGTTCCCCACACTAAGTCATATCACATGCCACCTCTGCTCAGAGCCCCGTGGTGGCTCCTGCCTCAGAGTAAAGCCAAAGCTGTCACCATAGCCCGAAAGACTCTTGAAGATCTCTTCCCGTCCCCTTGTCTCAGGAACCTCACCCCTGGCTTCCTCTACTCCAGCCCCAAAGGCCTTCTTGCTACCCTCAAACGTGTCAGGTTCTGACCTCAGGGCCTTTGCACTGGCTGTTCCCTCTCCCCCCAGATGTTGCATAGCCCACTCCCTCACCTCTTTCACGTCTCTGCCAAAATGTCATCTCCTCAGAGAGGCCCTCCCTTGATCATCCTATCTAAGGTAGCTCTTCTCCCCCATCACACCCTATATCCTTAGCCTACTTTCTTTTTCTTCATAGCAAATAGGTGGCAGCCAGTACTCAGCACCACTCTGTGGGAACGAGATTTTAGTGTTGTCAGATCTTTCGATTTACCAAAAGACATCAAAAGTGCACTTTTTTTAAATTGCAAAATCTTCCAATTCTTAAATGTCAGCAGTAAACTCATGCCTTGCAGAACCAGGGTGCTGGCCACAGAAAACACAGCCCCAGACCACTCGCTGGCTGCCAACTTGGGGGCTCTGCCTTAGCCCTCCTAACCACGACATTTTCCAGATAGGGAAACTGAGACTTGCAGAGGGCAAAGGACTGTCTTCCCAAGGTGACCCAGGCCCCAACATTTCCTGACCCACACTGTGGCCCCACAGGCCCCTTCCTGTCCCCCTTCCTCCCAACACCCCCCTCAGCCTCCCAGTGGTCCCCCCATCTCTTCGCCCTACCCCTGCAGGAAGGACCTCATCCTCGTCCAGTGGTATGAGGAATTTCTTCCTTGTGGGTGGCCT